GATCAAGCTAACTTCAAAACTTCAAACTTCATATGCTTGATACAGTGAGCTTTCTGTGTAAGAATTGCTTTATTCAATCTTGATAGCGCTATGCTTAGAAACTGAGAAAATATTGTCAGATTTTCCTTGGCGATTTTTTATTAGGGGACCCATGTTACCATCATAGTTACGCTGCAGTATTATTTCATGTCCAACACAAGTTTAAGAACATCTAGAAATATAAGCTAGAATTTATTGTGAAATGGTAACTTTTGTTAGCTGTCGGCCTATTGCGTGATGAAATGACGGCAATAATCGTTATCCTTCGACTGTGCAATGTACAGTTCTGTCCATACCATTACCGTCAATAGGAGGCTCAGTGTGCAAATACAAAGTGTGGTACACGTATTTTTCACACAGAGCGATAATCCACACGATTCAATCACAGACCTCGAGGTGGCCGGCAGTATAGGACACCGTCAAATGACAAAAAAAACCCTATAGAAATCATTTAGAGCACGCTCTATGGATTGAACGCTTCCGCTGCTATCGTCATTGTACTTGACAGAACGCCCAGATGATCCCACGAATGCTAAGCTGCACTTAGATGTTACTTATATATTAGTTAAGTAGTTAGCCAGACAGGTAGTAAACTCGTTGTACGGTCGCCCGCCTTGTCGATGAAACTCGTCTCGGAACTGGCTAAAACACTTGTGACGTGAGTTAAGTTACGGTAACTCTAAATATAGGTCAATCTTTACGTGGGCTCCTACGCAGTAACATAGGAAGGCATAATATATCCGCCTGTGTTCAGCTGCCGCTAGCGAAATAGTTGTTCGTTACACAGTTGACGTCAGTTTGTGAGGGGCAGCTCTAAGGAGGTGCTGATCGAAGTACAAGCACAGCTGCTCTTCCCAGCAGTCCCCGTTTATAATGGAAGTTATGATGGCTGACCGACTCGATGGAGTCGTTAACAGACAAACACATATGATAAATATAAATGTATATATAATCCAGTAGAATAGGCAGACATTAACACGAAGAAAAAATCCCATAGGAGCAAACGGAAAAGAGACATGGAAAGATAGGTTATAAAGCTAGTGTCATAGCTGTTGCTTTTTGTCTTGCTAAAACTTACCTTGGCGCTAACACGAACTCTATAAACCAATCAACAATGATGATGTGTTTGTTGGAGGGCAGTCAGTGCTTCTCAACTAAAAGAAATACACCCTATATTCAACGTAATGGTGCTCTACAACAAGATTAGATGGCAAAATAGATTGTCCTCATCAATCTACCAAAGTACTATCGTTCTTTAAGTCTGAAGATCGTTGAATCCCCTCATGAAGCATCGAGAATGGACTGCACTTAGATAAACACTTACATAGACTACTAAAAGGACCAGATCTGTAATGGTGAAAGGCGTATCACCTTTTCTAATGGACACTCAAATGACAGACTCCGATGTTATGACATTGTTTTAGTGCAAGTTGCTCTATAACCCTGGTAAGTGGCGGAAAAGCACTTTATGCTTGGTTCGGGACAAAATGGGTTACTTCAAATAGGCCTCGTGCATTGATCGTTGCTTTAAGAACTTCATAAGTCATTCTACAAACTCTACGAAATACGCGCGTCTCTCCGCATTCCCATTTTCCTCTGATTATTTTCAACAATTCCTGTTTTCACACAAGCTCCGTAGCGAGATAAATACATTTTGTCTAGTGAAAAAAAAGCTAATAGTTAGTAATAAGTGGAGCCCTGGCAGCCTTAAGAAACCAGCTATGGTTATAATGCAAAGCTGATTTGGCATCGTGTTAGGAAACTTGACTAATACTCGCTGATGCTATACCCTTACCATACACCACCTATTTAATATAGGAGCAAAAGTCAAAAATGAGCTACGAAGTATGTACAGTTCAGTACTTGAGTAAAATCATCGACGACGTGGCAAAAAACCATATCATCTTCGTCCATCAGTGCCTTTCATCTGTTACGACGAGAGAACTCTTTATAGGATTAAATAGTTTTTCTTTGTCTTTTATGTCCACCAACTCTAATGCGAAGGGAGGATGATCGAAGAGAAGGGAAAGAGGGATAAAATTGATAAGAATAATCGTGATAATATGAAAATTGATAATCGCGATATCACTCCCTGTTGGCTTCTATTCGGCTTTTTTCATTGCAGATCAGTCCCGCTGCTAACGTTGTACTTATCGTAGAGTCTGCTGCTCTTACTGCCGCCGCCGCCGCCGCCGCTGTCGTAGATGTTGCCGTCGGCCGTTTACAGGCGGGAAGAAGAGGCGGGCAGATTCGCCTTTGATGTGACGCCGACCATCGGGACAAGACAAACTATAGACGCCAGGACACAGAGAGACGGCAGCGCTCGATCCTTCCGCATAGGTCGGCGTCAAGTGTCGGTCAATGCGCCGAACGGTATACTGGCCGGTGTGTGCATCGAGGAGAGTTAAAGATACAACGCGTACAGATTCAAAGGCCTAGACAGAGTTACACAGTATGAAAGTGTGATCGAATCTGAAAGCAAGAAGCACAAAATTAAGCAAATGCTAACGATACAATCACTAATCCCGGTATGGCTGGTTGATGTGGCGATTTCACCTACCACTCAATACACAGCGCGTAGTACGTCCACGGTGGCATAGTTTGTCACAGATCGTATCGTGGTGATTGTCAAGTGTGTATAAAAGCATAAACGCGCATGACTAAATAGAGCGCAACTTACAAACAGAATTCAGTAAGTTCGAGCTTTTATAACACGGATTTCACTGATACATCCTTATTTAACACGACACAAACTACTGGCAGATATTGCGAAATCATTACTTAGGCCAATCGGTCTAGGCGAATGAGGCTCAAAGTAATGCGTGACGTAAATGACAATTGTACGAGTACGTTTCATAAATGATCTAAGTTCACTCAGCTATGAACCATGTATGCCTTACGTCACCAAATTCATACCCTAAGATCGCCGTAGAAAATCGACGCCTTTGCTAGAAACGAGTTGCTTACCGGCACTGGTTAATGAGTCACTTTGCTATTGAGTGCTTTCATTAGGCCATCAACACCCCGAATGATTGCCTCGACCGATTTCGTCTGAAGTCCGAAGATCTGAGTTATTAACGATTTCCTTCGTGTTTCGTACCTTCTTCCTTCACTAAATCTCAGAATTCTTATCAATTAGCACTGAATATTAAATATGTTAATTTTAAATATACAGGTTTTGCCTATCAGCTGTATCGGATTCGTATTATGGTTAGAGAATAATGTTGTGATTGAGTCATCGATAGACACTGGGAAAGGTGGTTACTTTTCAGCCGTGTTTGATGCATGCAAATAGTTCCATTATCCTGTACCATTCGCTCACATCCTGATTGGATGAAATTTGCTAAGAAAGCATATTAAGCTTATTATATGGATAGATATTAACGAAACTACCCTCATTCTCCTCATATACTAAAATGTGACCGCGGATTGGCGTACCTGGCTGGCCACTCCAACGGCGCGTGTCTTGCTCGTTCGACTACTACTATGCTTTATCCATATCTAAACGTGTTTTCTATAAATGGCTTCTGGTTGTCGTTCTATGTGTGTATGTGTGTGTATGTATGTACTTATAGAAGTCCGAATCCGAATGGACGTATGTGCCTATAGCAGTTGGCACATGTTCAAAGGTAGCTTAGAATGAAGCTTGGCAGTCTGTCGGGCGGTCGGCCGGCCGGCTAAGTATGGCCAACTCATCGCAAGCAAGACGATTTCCTTTTTTTCTCTTTTCCTTCAGTCTGTGTCTAGTTTAAGGAATAATTTGGTGAATTAATTTAATCCGTTGGAAAATTTGAAACAAAACAGAAAAAATGACGATTAAGAGGATAAATGAGAATGATGGGAGAAATGATCAACGCCAAATTGATCGGCTGACTTCTGATCTACCTAGCCACCAGCGGAGCAGGCCGTCACGATCAACGCGACCACGAATGAGGCACGCGGGCAGGGCAGCGAAGTCACGGGCGCCAATGGCACGACCACGGCCTCGATCAAGACCATGAGGGAAACGCTGAGCCCGACGGGAGAGGAAATAGCAAGAACAACGGCAGAAGCAGCAGCCGCGGCAGCAGGAAAAGGGAGTGTGCTACCGCAGCTCGAACAACCACGACTACTAGCACGGCTGCTGGCAGATGGAGCAGCAGCGGTATTTGGAGAAGGAGAAAAAGGATTTGGCCCATGAATCCTGCGTGAAAGGCCATCACACTAACCTACAGTGACTGATCAGCTTCTACTGCTACAGCCACCGCTCTTCTCTTTGGGAGCCGCGTCGAGAGAATCTATTAGGGGGCTCGAAAGGAATGAACAAGACTACTCGCGCGTTGAATACTTTAGGTGGAGGAGCTGCTAGCGCAGCGGCAGCCGCTGCCGCCGCGGTAACTGCGACGGTGGCGAAGTAAGAGCGAATCGTAATCTTGAAAACGGCCGTGCGGGAGATTTTTGATTTGGAGAGGGCCCCGCCGCACCTATTCCTCGCTATCGCTTGCGAAGGCAGCTGCCACTGCCGCCGCCGCCGCTGTGTTGGACTGAGGAAAAAACGAAACCAAATTCGATTAGAGACGAAACCAGCCAAAAAGGCATTTCGGCTTTTTGATTTTTATCGCTGAGAAACTTATCCACTTTGAACCTGCCCCTGGACACCCCTCTTGCCATCCCGCCAATTCGCCGGGATCAACAAAAGGGAGATTTGCGACCACATAACGTCATTACAGGATAGCTCGCATTCCCGAGCATTTTACCAGATTCACCCACAACAAGTCTACTGCAAACTGCTCATACCAGTAGCAGTGATGTGTTTCCTTATTTTGAACACATTCTAAAGATGACGCTTTCTGTTTATAGAGCTTTTTTTTTAATCGACCCTTAGGAAAATTGGCGTTATGCGTTGAGCATCGTAATGAACGCTGCTGTAGCTTCTAATTATAGTTTAAATAATTTATCGTTCTATTACTTTACGTAAAGACTATGGGCCCACCTTTTACACATGTCTTGCCATCTGAAGTGTCTAAACCTATAAATGATTAATAACACTTACGACGATAACGACGAGTTCAGACTTAGTCCAGCACTTCCGGTCTACTCGGCAATCTGTCAGTCTGTGGTGCAGTTGGAGGAAGCAAATCAACGGAAGCATCGAACCCAAGGTTCGATCCGACGCAGTAGTTGGCTACAGATCCGAGTGAGTTCTGCGTTGTGAGTAAGGCACGGATAACGGTTGAGGCAGCGGTGCAAGTGGCACGCCCGATCGCTGTTGGAGACGGCAATGCTTTACGATCTCTCGATTTTGAAGGGGGTTGCAAAGACGGCAGTTTCATTGGGGGTTTCAGTACCGCCTGTAAGATTCCACACCTGGCAGGCGCCTTCGTTTCACTTTGCCGATGTCGAACTCCTCGCGCCTGCCTGCTACCGTTACCCAGGTTACCGAGTTAAGTTTAACGTTCAGAGTCTCTCTCAGCGGGGCATACAAGCTTGCTTGCTACCTGCTGCCCACAACACAGCGGCTGATCTCAGATCCATTCTATCCTCGTTCCAGTGCGGTCCGACACAGCGTAGGAGATGATCTCTGCCAAAACGAGAAAACCAGCCAGCCAGCCAGCCAGCCAGCATCAAGAGGTGAGACTGCGAAATCACTGCGAAGTGATCTGTATGTGTCTGTGTGTTATGTGTACAGTGTGCAGTGGGACGGCAAGTGCAGGCTGGTAAGGGGCAGCCAGCTAGTCGACCGACCGACAGGTTATGTATCAGTTGAGAGAAAAACAGGGAGAATGAAGTCCCGGCGAAGAGGGGTGGACGAGAAAGTGGGAAAGTAGGAAGAATCAAAAGAACGTGAAGGGGCTGACGAAGGGCACATTGGGGATGGAAAACGAAATGTGAAGTATTCTGAATCTATTCGATGCCGGCAATCTCCCACCAGCCCTTGTCGTTCTGCCGTATGATCTACCCAAAGCGCTCCCAGATTTCCCAAAATGGCTCGCACCCCCCTCCCAGTGGTATGTGCGAGCACGATGCTCCCGGCATCTCCCAAAATTCGCCACATTCAGCAATTCGCTTTTGAGAAATCAAATTGGACTTGAAAGTAGCACAGCAACCAGCTTCCGCTTGAAGATAAAACGGCATAACGAGAACTACCCGCTATAGAGGAGTGCGCTCGAGGGGGCTCAATAACAGCTCTAGGAAGGACGAGAGTGATGCCTTACCTAAGAGAGCTGTTCACATTGGCACGTACCATGTTAACGCGATTTTCTGTCTGAACAGTAGCAAATGCATCGAAATTGCGGTACCGTTTAGCTTACGAGGGAATGGTGCAAGATGCTGTAAGGTTATGAAGACTGGATAATATACTGCCCCGAGGGGCATACCCTATGCGCAAGTGTCGAAACTTGGCGCTAAATGATTGCCAGCCCGTTGACAGGAAGCGAGCGCTTTTTTTACATGAGAAAAATATTTGTTGCATCAAAATATAATATGCTAAAGCAATAATCTTTTCCTCGATAAAACCCTGCGATTTCTCATGTAACTTCTATGAACATTTCCCTATACGTAGATAATTCTCTTAGAGTTGGTTTACTGTATACGTTAGTGAAAAACTTGATTTGACGACAAATTGTTATTACAATTAATTTTGAAAAATACTAGTCGCACAAGGGAACCTCTTGTACAATCTGCTCCATTTTAACAAAAGAGGTTACAACAGGTGCCGGCCAGATGCGGACCATCGCCTTGATGCATTACTTTTTACTAGTGATCTAAAAGCTTTTCATATACTTTAAATAGCAAATAACAGATCTATTTTTTCTTTGAAACTTACTTCAGTTTATTCATTGAGTATCGTATAAGAGGCCAAAACTCCTTCAGTAATGCATAGTTTGTGGCTGGTCAGCAGGGGCCATCAACGATTACTCGTTCCGATGACCCTAAACATTTCTATTTCTGTTCCGTGAATGATTCTCTTTTTATGATGAAGTTTCTATTTTGTTTCGCTGTTAGGCTGTCCCCTATGATGTAGGATTTAGTTCGTTCTGGGATGATGCTCCTTGATATCTCTATCGGTCGACGAACACTCGACCGCGACGTGATCACCGATCATAGACAAACCGTAGCCGGTAGCCCCCGGTGGCTTCGCCGCTTCATATTGATCGGCTACCGTTTTTCGAATTTCTATCGCCCCTGTTGCCGCCCAAGCGATAGTTGATGCAAGAGTCATTGTCGATTTAAGCGTGAAGTGGATCTAAGTTGGCAACAATGCGAGACTTGACTCTAGATCTTTAGACATTTGTTCAACAAAAAAAAAAAACAATGGTGACTAACAACGTCCAGCAGCGTCCGGCCTTTTTCGTCCAGGTTACATACAAACACCGATTGACCAACGAAGTAGCAGCAGGTATGTTTTCATCGGCGTCAGCAACTAGCGGCAGTGGCGAAAATCATGCGTGGGACACATGTGCGTGTGCGTTGGGCGGTGCGACTTCAAACATACAAAACATATGTGGCCTGACACAAACACGCAGTAGCGCTCATTCGCGGTAATGGTAACGGGTGTTATGACGAAGTCCAACCACGGTAGCGCGCCTTCGAATTTCGGTTGTGTCTGACGCCTGTTCAATGATGCTGCTCCTGCACGAACGGTAGCAATTGCCAGCAACAGCAAAAACTTTAAAGCTATTCTGACTTGGTTTTGTTACGCTCCTTAAGGAAACGGCAGCCAACATAACAGTATCAGTGGCCGCATGCACCGGCAATAGCGATAAGGGCATTCTCAGACAGATTCGACGGCAGCGGGCGGATTCGATGCTCGTTCGTCCCTTCGATATTTCGCCGGCCCACCTGTATTAACGACCACGCGCTAGCCATGCCGGGACGCACGTATTATATTATAGTACGACCGACTGACCCTTCTGCCAGTGCACACGTACATACGGAGGGCACCTTACCTTTACTGTTAAACATATTACGATAGATGGACGCAGGGCAGCTATCTGCCATCCCGCGGCTATCCTATAATGAAACGGGATTTTCTTTCAAACGGGTACGAGGCTTCCTGCGTAAGCGATCGGCACCGGTCAGGCCGGGTGTACGGCTACCGTGCGTCATGCCGATTCGTTCACACATAAGAAGATGGATTCAGTAATAGCAACATAGCGGACCATAGTCGCTTAACCGGCCTTACCAATATCATGTTCCGATCCTGCCGATGCGTATTATCCGGATGATCACGATTTAGTCAGTGGACGATTGACCTGATCAACTGACAATAAATCACCATTTCTGCCCGGCGGGTAATCAAGAAAAAATAGGAAACGAAACATAGTTTTTTTCAATGAAGATGTCACCAAGTACTAGCATCGTGCGAACATCTAGTACCATTGCTTATAAGATGTAACTGTTATACGATTGATGTCGTTGATGCTGACGCTTCCTCTTTGGAAGTTTCCTTCCAGTAAAGAAATGCGGGTCTGAATCTGTGCGCTGCGGAAAATGTCAATCGTAAAATTTCGTAGCTGATTGCCCCCTTAATCAGCACGAAATAGTATAATATACTATAGCATATTAAAATACCAGCTTAATAACGAATATATAAGTAAACTGAATGTGACGATACGGGGTGTTCATTACACAGTACTGCCAAAGTAGATTTGCGTGCTCAGTCCAGAAGATTCTCGCTTGATAAACGCATTATGAAGTGTAGGCATTTCTTTACAGGTAACCTGATAGATGTTTCGGGTCTGTGACCTTGTAAGATAAAGAAGATGAATCAAATAGCGTGCGCTTGTTATGCCTCTGTCCGCTTTCCTTTCAATGAAACCAATAAAAATAAGACCGCACAACTAAGGACACTGATTTGTATTGTATATAGTATGTAGGCAAGGTACAACTTGTTCCTTCAAGGACAGGCAGCCGCCGTCCTTGTCATATCGCTGTTTGAGTATCTAGGTTATTAGGAAAGACCAGCGTGCATCACCACCATGGGCTCTCACTACGATCGGCGATACCAACATACAAACCGGACTTGATTAGCGGGCTATCTTCCGCAGGAATTGTTTTACTTACTATCATGTAGTGGCTGGATCACTTGTAACATCTCCACAGTTCAGCAAGAACTATTCGAGGGCGTTGTATTGCTACTTGACTTCGAACCAATCATTTACCCAGTGATAATCATCGACAGCAGTCGATTGTTGCTTTTGTTGTTCTTGTTATTGTTAACAGTTAATATTAGTTCTACAACTAGAACACCCTTGTTTATGGAAGGCACATACGCACGCACGCTGCGGCTTGTGTACCAAAACGAACTGGTGATAACGATCAACCCATTAGTTTGGCCATCCATCTAGCCGTCGCATTGATTATTAAAGCACACGTTAGGGCGGTTGAAAGGATGAGCATAGGGGCACCCCGGAGGACGCAGCATTTCTCTCGGCGACACATCACGACAACAACAAGTATCTAGAATATTACTCCGACTACGGTAGTCCTCTTCCCCCAAAAGTCGGGAGGAGAAACGTGCGAAGGAGAGGACCCTGGACAGTAGCTGTTATCAATGACGATAAGGTGATGTCTGCAGCACTGCTTTGGTGGTCCCTGTAGACTCAGGCCGATAATATGTAGTCAAAGATAGCTGCAGTTGTTTCACTCAGAGATTTTAATGCAGTGCTCATATATAGTATCAGTGTCTTTCCGTTTTTCTCCTCCGTCTGCTTTGGATCGCATCTATTGCGCTCTTTGGCTTGATTCTGTCCCGTCTACTCTGCCAGACTTCGACTCCTCGGGCTCACTTTTTCGCAACCGCAGGTAGAAAGAGGAATAGAGTGTGTCGTGCTCAGCGGCACTCACTCGTCCTATTAAATGCTCATTAGTCGACAGCCGGACGAGCAAGGAAGCTATTCGCCCTTTTTTAGTTATAACAACCTTTTTCCGCCTATACAAGTCTTCTTTCGATTAGTTTTTTCTCCTATAGTGTTCCCATCACATTTCTTGTGTCGCCTCATCATTTGACTGTGTGCGGCGATCATGGTTGCCTGGTCGCCGAAAAAATACTTTAGACCGTGTCAGAATTCGTGAGCACCCGCAAGCGAATAAAACTCTATACTTTGTGTGTGCCAAGTGACATATGCGCACTCGTGGACTTCAGTCTCGTACAACGGAATGGCTATGCGTCATCGTTACGGTGCCGCTATATCGGGCGGGTGCCTACACTGCCGAGGCAGAAGCGACAAAGCTGTCAGCTTCATCCTACACGGACTCAACTTTCACCTGAACTATGAATACTGTCTGAACTTTGCGACCAAAGCGCGTAGACCACATATAGAAGCAAATAGGTCGCCTTTGTGTATCTTAGTAGACGCGGCACAGGCAGCGAGAGAAGAACAATCGCCACGGGGTGTAGTGTTATATGATTAGCTTAAATACATAGAACAGAAAAGGTATTACTATAACCGTCGTGAAGTAGGATGGATGTCCGTCGAAAATACACCGTAACCAGGCCGACAGCGCAAACAACAACGATGTGTCCCTAAAAAAAAAATAACCCTCGACTAATTGCCGTCAGCTACAAGAGCTGGTCGATGTTGTCCTTTAACGCGGCGGTAGATTGCTCCGTTAGCTATTGGGGTGGTCTTTAAAGCGGAACAGGGCACATTACGGCCATAAAGTTATCATACGCACCATCATAGGAGCAATGGTTTCTTCCAGCATATGGGCAGGACGTTACGCTTGTCGAGAAAGAAACAAGGCCAGCTAGAGCGGATAATAATACCTCGCCAGCTAGCTAGCAGACGAACGAAGTAGCAAGTAGTTTTTTTTTTCATTTCAAACTTAATCACTTGAACTTCTATTCGCACGCATCTCTGCATAATGCAAAAACGACCATTAAAACTGAAAGCAGTGTCACCTAATGATCACCACACGTGTACAATTGATTCTTCTACAGACCCTTTGAGGAATCTTTAAACTACTTCATCGATCCTCATAGAACGCTAAATTGCTCGCACTGATGTTCATTTCCAGTTATCAGTTTCGTGATAATGGCCGTGTCGCTCCACCTTTGTCCTTTGGTAATCTATTGACTCAAAGAAAATATGTTCAGACTGACTTCCAATAATGTTCTATTTTAACTTCGACGGTACAAGCCGCACAGAATATAATTCGTGTCCAGTTTCGACAACTTTCAGCTTTGATGAACGCGGTACATAAGAGAGAAAATAGAGGGACGATGGCAGCTTTTAAACGACGTACAGCTTACAAATTACTTATAAAGTGCCAAACATTGAAATAAAAAATGGTGGGGCTTTTATGTGTCGTCGTCGTCGTCGACAGTGACCCTTCTGAATTCCTTCAAGTGAAGGATTTTGTGTCAAAATATAGAATATATTTTTAGACTTTACTGAAAGACGTTGAAAAAAAGGTAGGCTTCTATAATCTACGAGTTCATTAAATATTTTAGTGAGTGTCAACGCTATAGGCTCACATAAAATAGATTAATAAACATCTACTAACTTCGATTCATCGAGACAAGCCACTTATTTACTCCGCTAAAAACTCCGGACGCACTCTCGATGAAATAAAGGGCGATTTCACATGACCAGGGTAGCCAGCCTCGAAAAGGCTTGTTGGGCTTAAATCTATTAACTTGTGTCGAGTAGTGACGCAGTCGCTCGCCTGACTCCACGACATCGTTCGTGACCAGCGCATTATGGGACCTTCTACCACCATTCGGCCACTACATTTGCCGTCATAAAATCTCGGCAGCTGACTACTGATCGGGCTGTCGTTGGTAATAGACACGGCGGCGTAAAGGACGGCGAACGCTGCTGCTGATATACCTTCGGTCATTGCCATGCTAGGTGCTAGAATATAGGCGCTTCTTTGGGTTTCAGCAGAGGCGCTTCATTTAACAGTCCGTTGGTCGTCCACGACTCTCCATAAGCGTGAAGGCAGGCAGGTCGGCAGGCAGAGGTCCACCATCTAACCCATATAAAGCCAGACCTACATACAGCGGTTACACTGTGTATTGGCTTAGTGAGCGAGTTGCTGTACGGGATGCGGGCGGCGGGGATGCCGGCACTGGGTGGGAAAAGCAGGAACCTTGGCCTGAACCTCATCAATATCAGCCAGGTGATACGAAGCTTCGTACTAGCGCATAAAGGAAAACTGAACTATGCAGGCGGCCAATACGATTCAATAGGAAGGTACTGACTCATGATGCAGAGCAAGTACCACGACACAGATATACAGACGCGGTACCACATATTTTGACCGACGCATAAACAGGCCATATACACATTAACGATCATATACAAGCCATCAGCACGACCGGTTGAACGAAATTTCTCTTTTCTAATTTGACTAGTATTTTTCCGTTTCTGTCTATTGTATACTTCTAACAAAACGTGTTCGAAAAGAATTGTGCGATAATACGCTAAAGATGTACAAACATGGCTTATGTTGTCCGATTTGTCGTTGTCATGGCCTCTGTTATTGTTGTTGTGACCACCGCCGTCAGCGCTGTCCGCATTGTATCTGGAAGAGCGTAAGGTAATGATGTCAGATCCCATTTTTCTTTTTGTCAATCACACACACTGATAGAGAAACAAGTGTTGTCGGTCACGACAAGATACCACTTGTTAGTGTAAGCTAGCTATCTAAATAGGTAGCAAAGTATACCCACTTTCTAAGAACGAGCATTAGGACAACTGACTGCACGGACGTACAGCAACGTTTCGGCAGCTGGGTCTATAGGACCGTATATGGCATAATTTTGTTACGACGCCAGCGAACCTAGCGGCGTACGACACGATGAGAAACATCACAGCACTCAATCATCACCATTATCAATGTCTTCGTCGTCGACTTTGTCGCCGCGACGCTAGTGCCGTCGACAAGCCAATGAGGGACTCAAAAGGCCGGCTGAACAAAGGATGTTTATACGAATGGCTACTGAATCATGCCTGCGGCTCGGTCTGTAATTGTTCAGTGTACGACAACAACAACCAGCGACGGATCGGATTGACAACAGCGGCTGTAGCAGTCGCAGTGGTAGAAATCACAGCAGCGTTATTAACAACATTGCATATTGTTGTTATCTCATTCGATGTTAAACTCGTGTCGAAACGCTGACGAACGGTATCGACAACGACATTGCAAACTGGCATGATACGGTACGTTGTCTTCGTAACAATTACGTTATCATTCATTGACGAATCTCAGATTCGACGTTTAGCGCGCGCAAATTTCTATTTTGTCCAGGTATACCCACTGGGATACGCACAGATTAACGTATACAATATAATAGGTCACATATCAGACGGGCGGTCTGGATACGACAGTCGTGGTTGGTCGCCATCGAGAAAAACGAGGTTGCTGCAAAAGAGACAGCCCTGATCCGACCAGACGAAACCGTCAGATAAACAGGAGGGCCATTGTGGGTGGTGGTGGAAAGAGAGTAAGGGCCTTGAGAAGTCATGATGGAGATAACGATAATGAAAAGTAATACGCTGAATTTAATTATCCGCCTTCTTCACTCACTCGTTGAATGGCTGTGACTGGCCGCTTTGATGGCCCTAGCAACGCAGCTCGAGCCAGCGTTTTTGGCCTCTGCTGCTGGGCAACGATGGCGTTAGCGTTCAAACTGCTTAGCTAAAAAGACGTCGGGCATCCAGCGGCAGCGACAATAGGCGCAACGGTTCTAGCGACGATGAGCGCGTTTCTGGCGGCCTAAGTAGCGACTACAGGTCACTGATGAAACGGGAGACCAGTCCAGGGAAACGCAAGGAAAAGCAGGTGGCCGGCACGAGCAGAAAAATGTTAGCGAATCTCAGAAATGCGCTAACGGCCGGCGATCTGAGGAGATTCGAAACAGAGCGTGTGCTCAGAGTGATCGACCTGAAAAGGCGAACATAAAGGGACAAGGGGGAAACATGCAGAAGGAGACAGAGAGAGAATCAAACTGCAACGACAGTAAAAATTCAACGTAAATTAGCTTACCATGTCTCCGTTCTTTCCCTTATGCTTCGTTTCGCCTATTCAGACCAACTGGCAACGAACGGCATAGTCTGCAGCTACACATAACAGGCCTGCAGCACCAGCGGCGCCGATATCATTAGCAGATTTACCGGAAATGATTATTGTTATTACTATTTCATAGGACAAATACTAAGTAAGTGCTCTCGTCTCGAAGCGGCTTATCGCGTATTGTTGTAGATAATGGCTTGGTGTGGTGGTAATCATGATCACTTTTGCCACTGAGCGGACTGCGTCGGTAATAATGCTTGTCTGGTAGAGAAATAATGGGGTACTCTTTGAAAAGTAACAGTTAACTGATAGGCTAATAAGTTATAACAGATCGCTTCTGCCGCTGTTACGCTTAAGAAACCGAGGTATAATCAAACTCAAGTGCACTTTTATTCTGTTATATATAGCGGTATCATCTAATCTTAATCTTAAAATCACTATTCCCGTTCGTAATGTCTGCCTGCCCGACGATGAGGCCCGTTATTTCCGGGTGGTGGACTATTTGCCCTATTTACGTTTGGTATCATATGTTCGTGCCTAAACGCTTATACTGTATTTCTATTGGTTTCGTTGCCTTCTCATTTTTCCTGTGAAAATAAGCACCGACAGTTTAGCTGGGCTTGTGCGTAAATGTACGTTTTTTCAGGCTGTCAAACTATAGAGCCTGACGTCCCAAGCTGAAATCTTATATATGTCTATACATCTTAATGTCTATTCTCATGGTAAAAATGCCTTCTTGGGACAAAATTTTATCATAATGTTTTATGTAGCTATTCTTTTTTTTCTATCATTCAATAGATCTTATTTTTTAAGCCGAAATTCGTTGGCATGAAAACTAATTTCTACTTATAAAAAAGTGTATTCTACTGCATTTTCTTTAAAAAAAAATGTTATGCATATAAACTGTAAATTTGTAGCGGGGGACATTTTGATGTGATTTGTTTTTTACAATTCATTTTCTGTCAAAAATGATGGCAAGTTAAAAAAAAAATCCGTAAAGTAAAATAGCAATATTTCGGTGCTTATCTCTAAATTTCAGCGGCCTTAACTAAAATGCACTATCTATTATAGGCGTTCAGATATGATGATGATACGAAAAACTTCACTTTTGCAGTAATTTACTTTATATATGGAACATTAAAGATTTTATCTGTTTTGAGTAGCTTGGGACGTCCTAGGAACAGGATCATTAAAAGTCGGCCGACGGCGAACTGCTGTATTCACGTGCGTCCATCCAGGAAGAGAGTTGATACGGAAAAAAGATCTCCCTAATACAAAACTATAGAAATTACAGGTACGTCGATTTGTCTTATAAATGAAAAATGAGTATTTTTATCCGTCTCGAACCAAAGCTTTGTTTGGAACGTTCCAGGAACAGGGTCAAGACGCCATATACAGTCTGTTATCTTTCATGAGAGTTCCTTTTGAGTGCCCCTCTGACCGGAACCTTTGCTTATGACGCCCCAGAAACTCTATCGATAGACTAGTCGATTCTATTAACGGCAGCGACGATCAGAAGTCAGACAATATGATTAACGCACGTTATTGGGACGTCCACCGACGATCTACTATATTGCAATTATTATTAAAAAAAGCTTCACTACTTACTAAACGACGAAGGCAACAGGAGCTAGTAGTATTAAATTTTAATATAACTGCTCACTAGGAAACGTCCATTGCACAGTAGCAATATACGATTCAGAACATGGACATTTATGAGAAAGAAACAGTCGAGCTTTACGCCCAACGTACCTAGGGAGGACAATAGGCTAGCCTCATTCATAGAGCGCCTTTTGTCTTTAGATACACTCCTGGTTTTTTCGCGGATGTGTACGGAGTGCTAGTCGTGGCGGAAATGTAGATGAGAGCTCGTGCTGGATATTTTTCATAGAAAAAATAACCAAAGAAAACAATTTTGCGATAGCTTCACCCTTAGATTTCCTAAGTATATACGATTTATACAATTATTTCGTAAGTACAGCCTCTTAATCTGGCGTCGACGAGTCGTCTACTTGTTCACAGCTCTTTGTGCTAATAAGGCATGCCTCTGCGCAACCTTGGCATTATGCGGACTGGGTAGTAATCTGCCTTCAGGGTTATCTGTCCAGCTCACAGAAGGAAGTCGTCGTCGTCGTCGTGGATGATGATGACGACGTCATCATCATCAGTAGCACCATTAGCATCAGCATTAGCGCCGTCGCCCAACGTAGAATGCTAACTAGGAGCCGACGTCATAGTGACGCGTTAATCGCATGACAAAATCATAATAAAGTGTGTAACGGGTGACGTTTTTTCGACAACGTGAGCCACGCAATGCAATGGTCGTTGCAGTGAGTATGATGCACTGCACTTTACTAATCTACGTATAATTCGAGCTTAGGGGTGCGCCTCGCTAAAGTAACAGTATCTAGGTCGCCTGCATTCAGCTCAACCGTTTGATAGCGTCATTTCCTTTTCCGCGAGTACTAATGGCAATAGCAGTACACCCTAACCGATTTTCTCTGCGTCCCCTGATGGTAGGTAGAGCCTCGCTTACCCAACACTTTACCGGCAGCAATGATTAGTAAAGTGAGAACGCTTTAAACGTCACCGTGACGTTGAAACGTGAGAGTCGTAGAATAGGATAAAAAAGCTCAAGACGACTCAATCACGAGCTGCCTTTTTGAGCTAAGTCACTTAAAGTCGTCTAGTTCGTCTATGTCGTAGTCAATCAGCCAGATAGCTGGGCGGTTCGAGAGAAAGCTTTTGTTGTATCGCCTGTCATTTTCCTATTTACCGGTCCGTTCGTAAAGGTGTGCCTTTTTTACCGTTTGTTCTGTGTTGCTGTTTATGTATTCTGTCCATCTGTTCACATTGGCCCCTATTTGCTTCTGCATTCTCTTACGATATTTTGTTCTCCTGTAGGCGAACATAGACGATGCGGCCTAGAGGTGTCCTATCGCCCCCACAGTGGTCTGCTCAGAGTGGCGATAAGGTCCTCAAATGAAATGCGTCAAATTTATTGCGCTTTATTTTCTTGTTAGCTTTTGTATGTATAGCACACATCACGTTACGAACTTCCTGTCTCGACCTGTTGTGGGCCTATTGCTCTCTCTCGAGCGCTAGTTTGATTGGGCGTTACCCCAATACTGTCTTTTCTGCGCTATTTTAGGGTCATGATTGGCTTCGCTGGTGGCCCACTGTTAAAACAGAAAGAGCCTTCTTGAGTCTAAGTTTATTGATATGATCTTTCATTGCTCTCACAGTCGCACTACAAACGATACGCAAACAGCCATTGTATTATAATACATCGGAACTACGCAGACGAAACGAACTCACGCGCACGTTTCAGTCATAACCTAACGGCAGATTCGTTTCCACGATTCCATTCATGACCGCCTCCGCCGTCGGGCGTGCATCATCATTGACGCTATTTAAGTTGTTACATTTTAATGTGCGCACTTCCTGTGTAGCCGATGATGAAGCCACCAGCCGCCATGGTACCACTTCTACCGTTAGCTCCGAATGTCGGTTGTAAGATTGAACCGATACATACACACACAATGTCGATGTTTTTTCGATGAATAAAATATAAACACATTCAAGAGAGCTTCGAGACGATCACACACAAGCCGGCGTTTGTGCCGTTCGATCCACTGTGACGTCGGCGATTGTGTTTCATGTAAGCTTTAAATATCGCAATACGGAATACATATCTAAATAATAGTTATTTTGTACGGCTCAGTTCGGATAGAGGCAAAGTATTTGGTCCACGACTTCAGATATTCGATAGCGGCGTTCGTTACTTGACTCAACGAATCACATATTTTTAGCTTGAAATTTTCTATGAGCAATGGACTCGCCTTAAACTTAGTCTAAACTGTCGTACAAGGTTAAAATATGGTTATAGATCGACACCAATCATAGAGCTGCGCCGGCTAAGTCACTTATCTGAGCGCCACATGAGTTTGTGTGTGCGTAATAGGAAGCCATCAAATTAAGCTGGAACAGAAACGAGCCTCAAGCAAACAATTTGGCTTGGGGCTGATCCAGCAGCTCACACGCAAAACTGTAAAGGACCCAACTTAAAAAAGCCAAAAGTGTTTTGGCGAGAGAGTGGAAATGTCCCGCTAAACGCCTCGTCTTGCTTCCCGCCTTTCGATTTGCCAGCCAGTGGTATAGCAGAACCGACTAAAGAGTAAAGGAAAAAATGAGGCGATGTGTCTAGCATATGACACACATCTGTGTACGCGGCGGAAAACCTAGCTACTCTATTAAGCCTAGCACCAGGCATCAACCTCTTCTTGGCGTTCCGAATTGTATCTGTATCTATGTAGTTGGTTCGTCGGCGTTAGTACCAGCCCACCTCAATACGACAATGTTTTGTTAAAAGATATTAAGGATAGGAAACGACCGCCTCAGATTAGTCGGCAGCCGCCGCTCAAGCTAGCAATAAATGTAACCGGCACAACGAGACTGTTACGAACACCAGCGTAATAACTTTACGCCCGCGACCCTTTGGATTATATATAATAGGTCTATGAATGGCCGATATGCGCGGGTGAATGCGTATATAGCTCGGCTCCGTTTTCATGCTCA